TTATATATATATATATATATATTATATATATACACACACACACACACACACACACACACACTCACACACACACTCACACACACTCACACTCACACACTCACTCTCTCTCTTATATTCTACAAGAACACTACTTACACTCATTAGTGAACAGAATTATCCAATAAGATCCTCAAGACGTGACTGATGTTTCTAATACAAATTATTTCACTCTACACGAATAGTCAATTAGTTTACAGTACGAAAAACTGACATTAACTATTAATGTCTTAACTCAGGCCTTTTAAAATAAGCTGATTTGTGCACGTGAGTCAGATGGTAACTCATTCATCAGCACAGACTGATTTCGCTCATATAAAAACATGCTTTTACCTCATGAAGCCCGTGTCAGATGTGATGACATCGCCAGGAACCACCAGATGTTTGTCGTCCCGGTTAGACTGTGATGCTGCCAGTGAAATATGTTTGTGAACCGCTGGGAGCCTCATCTCCACCGCCATGCTTCACAGCGGATCCGTGCAAAATGGCAGCGAGCGCGACCCGATTTCATAATAAAAGCTCAAGTGTATTTGTTTGAATCATCAATGAACTGACTTTATCTGGAAAAATGAGTCTTTGTTATTGTCTTCTTGCATTATTGACAAACTATTTTCCTGTTTGACACTGTAAAGCTGCTTTTAACACAATCAGTATTGTACAAAGCGTTATATAAATAAAGATGACTTGTTGAAACTCATTAATTCATCTGCATTTGATACTGAATTATTAATTATTTAAATAACTTAAATCAATTAAATACTTTTTACATTTGTGGTGTGAGCTTTTATTTTGTGATGAGTGTCCGCTAGAGGGAAGCATTGATTTTATTATAAAACTGGGGCACGTTCAAGCTCAAACCGGTGCGCAACGTTTTGCTACGGTTTCCGGGTTGAACAACATGTTTCCTGGAAACGGTGTGCAACGGGGTTTGAGATGCGTTTTCTCTTGTTTGGTGGGTGTGTCAAAAATGTCAGCCCAATCAGCAGCAGCATGTATATAAACCACACGGTATTAAAGAGACAGCTCGCACAATGGGTCCAAGTAAAGTCATAGTAGTTTCTGCATCCCTATGATGCTGTTAATAAGCTGACACGAATCTTGCTATGGCTGTTGTATACACACTGATGCACATACTGCTATATACAGTGGGAATTTGTAAGTAAATGTAATTAACATCCAAATAAATTCACAAGAGCAAGTATATTGTTTGCACATGTTTATTTACATTAAAATAACTGAAATAATAAGAGCACAAGTATAGATCTGGAACTTCTTTAAGTCTGTCTAAATACCATTTTAGTAATTGCAATGTGTTCTGGTCCATATCCTTTCCTTAGGAAGGTGTGCTAAATACTGATTAATGTAACATAAAAATACTATACATATTTGTATATTTTGCTTTTGTATTACGGAGTGACACTTTCATAAACTTTTCTATATTCCTCTGATTATATAATGGTAAATATTACAATATCATAGCACAACAACAGTGATCAGCAATAATGATAAGCCTAATACAATAAAAATAATAAGGCCATATAGATCATAACACAGTCTCGGTGGTAAGAAGTGGATTATCCTTCACCTGAAATGTTTGTCTTTTCATCCTGAAATGCGAGGCAAATGTTGGATCACGATAATTAGGAACCACAGTTTCCACAAATCCCTTCACTGGATTGGGATGTTCTCTTTTATTCTGGATGGCAAGGGAAGTGACTGTATGCCTAACATTGTGCGTATTTTGCCGTATTAAACGCATTTATCAGTGACGGTGCTACACCGGGGCTAGGGGGGGCTATAGCCCCGTCAGAATTTTGAATTGCCCCGGTTTAGCCCCATTTCTTTATGAAGTAACTCTGACGTCATCAATAGCAGTTATTTTCTTAGCACCCCCACATTTTGGTATAGTCCCCCCCCCTTAGCACCGGTGGAGAAAAAATTCTGGCGCCGTGCCTGGTATTTATACTGATTTCACAGGACTGCCTTTTTCAAGAACCAAATTAGATCCTACTCTGAAGCAGGGTCTAACCAGCACAGCTGGTACTAATCGTGACGTAAGTAGACATTGATTGGCCAAACGCGTACGAAAATCTTGAACTACACGTGTATTTTCATCCAATGTACACAGCACAGAAAACATGATAAAGCAATAGTTTTCCCCCCCAAGATCTAGGTGACTTTTTGTTTTTGTGTAAAGAAGATATTTAGCTGAAACCGTGCATCTTGGTGATTCATAAAATGCAAGTCAATGGCTACCGTCACTTCGAGAGTCAAAAAAGCATATCAGGCAACACAAAATGAATACCCTTGTGTATATATCGGCTCCTGACGATATTTTTTAGGTCTTATGAACAGGGTTTGAAATTAACTTTTTCACTCACCAGCCAATTTGGCTACTACATTTTTAAGTTACTGGCCATTGATAATTTCTACTAGCTAAAAAAAATAAATAATGGAAAAAAGGCCGGAGTAAGCCAACAGCTTGAGGCTGTCCACACTAGATGCGACAAAGTGACCATTGCAAATCATTTGTACTTTGTCAAACAGTAGGTCTACCTCATAAATAGAACGAGGCATCAGTTTACTGTCGGGGATTGTCGTGCTGTGCCACATCCAGTGTAGGCCGCATAACCGATTATAATGGGTTCTATAGTATTTTTTCGCATCTGGTGTAGACCCAGTGCCCCCGCCACGCCATTATTTGTTGCATAGTGATGGGTACAGGGCTGGACTGGGGTTAAAATCCAGCCTACCCGGCCCTCAAGGTCCCCTGTGAATGTTTCGCTGTGTTATAGGGCCTTCAATTGGAGTAAGTAAATAAATGAAGACAAAAACAAATAATGATATACTGTATTTCTGAATTCGCAGCAAACTAATAGCCTGTGGCATTTTTGTCACATAGAAATGCACTTGACCGTACAAGCATTGATTTTGTGCTAGAACATAGGAAATGCACTGCTAATAAAGGCTGTCATCCTTTCCTCACCCTCACGTCTTTCCAAACCTGTATGACTTACTTTCTTCTGTAAAACACAAAAGATATTTTGTAGAATGTTACCAAACCATTTTGGTTACCCTTGATTTCTACTGTATGGACAGACATTTCTTGAATTTCTCAAAATATCTTCTTTTATGTTCCACTGAAGAACGAAATGAATACAGGTTTGGAACGACATGATGCTGAGTAGCCTAAATGAAGACGGTTTACATTTTTGGGTGAACTATCCCTTTAAGAACTTTATAATATTTGTAATTGTATAGCTGCTTTTTCTGATTTTTATGTTGCTCTGTTCTGAATACCTTAAAATTTAAAGGATTTGCTGCAAGCAATTTTGTATGATATGTTATTTATATATTTTTTTATCCATGCAGCAAATGCTTTAAAACAGCTTTAAGATTACTTTATTGCATTCCAGATGCTTTTAAAGTACTTCTCACTATAAATTTTATGGGTAGCATGAATGTAAACATTGTCATGAATTCGTTGTATTCCCATTTGTAAAATAGCCAATAAATTCATTGTTGTAGGCGAACCCGATCTCATGAAAGTGCGTATAGCACGATTTTCTGCTTCTATTTGGCGTAATATTTCTATGCAGAAATTGACTTTGGCATGCAAAAGACATAAATTCATAATTAACGGCATGGGTTCAGTCGACAGAAATACGGGACACACAGGCCTATAATAACTGCTAGAATGTTTGCGGGGCAAATCTCAGATCAGTCTGAGCGCTCATGGTACTCACCGTGCGTACAGCCGTACACCTGCAGGCGCCTACCTTTGCCTAATGGGTAAGTCCGCCCCTGGCTAGTAGCTACATCACTGGGTATGTTCAAGTAAGCTAGATATGCCCAGATGCTGCGCAATTAGGCTTATATAATATATCATGATGAGCCTCGAGTTCAGTATTTACACTAAATCTGTGCAGATTTGGCTTACATGAACTTCCTCAAGAAATTAATTAGTAAACATAACATAGTAAACAGCTCAACATCGTGATGTCTGTCAGCCATCGACGATGGTATCGTCTATCGGCCCAACCCTAGCGCTTACAGCCTCTCAGATCTGGCAGCACAACTTCAAATCCTAGCGCTTTGATGCTAACTTAAGTTTTGATCACTTTTAAAGCTAGATTGCCCACTAATGTGTTTACTTACAAAAAGGCATGAGTGGAGAAAAATGAGGCAATTTTATTTTTATCTAATTTTTCATAAAATTGCAAACTGATACAGTGTGTCAAAATTATATATATATATGTATGTATGCACAAGGGTGTAACTTTGGTTTGAAGTGGGGGGGGACACAAATTGGGGGGAAATGTTTTCGATTTGAATCCCATTTCCTGCATTTATATACATTTAGGGACTATAGTGATACAAAATCCAGGAAATAATTAAGTTGATTATAATGAAAAATTCTGCCAAAAAGAATAGTAGGCTACTAAACTATGTATAAGAAAAATATGTCTTACTTTCTTTATTGTTTAATAGGGGCCGATCGCCAAGACTTGAGAGAATCATTTTTTAATAAGTCAAAAATGTTCACCATTAATGTTTTGTGTGTGAATAAAATGTAAATAATGTGAGACTCAATTTCCACTGTTAAACAAACTTTTATTTCAAACTAACCGCTGTACCTGAAAATGTAAAATAAATCACTTGTTGCACAGGACGTTTGTCAGAGACACATCCACCAAACCACAGGTGTTTAGAATAGAAAAAGCAAAAAGCTCCATCTCTCCATGTATATCCTAACCATCCACCCTTCTGTACTGTCCTGTCTCCTCTTCTCACATGAAAGAACCAAACACATGCTTCCTGTACTCATTCGCCAGGATAAACTCCTGGCAAATGTTTTCCTTGCTAACTTTATCCAGTGGTTCTTTGTGAATGTGACAGACTGCTACATTGTTAATGCGAATCTGCAACATTGTGCTTCTCAGCCAGGTCTTCAACCTCCTCAGAGCACTGAAGCTCCTCTCTGCTTCAGCAGAAGCAGTAGGAACAACCATAAGAAGTCGTACAAGCGCTTCTACTTGGTTGAAAAGGCCACGGACTTCAGGCAACTGATTCCTCAGAATAGTTGCGGCCTCTGAAGGGGTTGTGTATGTGTATTGGAGCTTAAACATGTTCAGCTGCACCTTCAGTGACCTTTGGTTTAATTCAGGATACTGGTCCACCACAGCAGTGTCCATCTCCCCAGTTAGGAGGGCTTCCTCCAGCTTCGCCAGTGTCAGACCACCCTGATCAAACCTCTCCTTCAGCTGGATGTCCACAGTATCCAGCACCTTGAAGAAGTCAGCTCTGTAGTGTTCTTCTGGGGTTTTAGGTGTGTGTGCAGTAGTGACATTGCCAATGAAGCATTTTGGTGGACGGCGGATGTGCTAACAATAGTCTGAAGTTACCTAGCAACAGTGCATGTTAACGTTAGCTCAGTCAACGTTAGGCTAACGGGTGTAGACAGAAAATATGATTATCCTGACCTGAGCTAATTTACTGA